AATAGCAGCATGCACACATTTTTACTCTTCTATCCTGTTCTCTTTGGCCCCTGTCAACACTGGCATTATAATGCAGATGGAACTGGGTTATCTGGTCAGTGTAGAGTCATATAACCCAGTTCAATGCAGTTAGGCCCCTTCTGCACTGCCATATAAAATCCAGATTATCTGCTTTGAACTGAATTATATAGCAGTGTAGACTCATATAATCCAGTTCAAAGCAGATAACATGGATTATGGGGCCTAAGTATGTTGTATAATGTAAGTTTGGATATAAAGATAAATCAATTTAAGTATAACCACAAACCTTTTTTGGTACATGAAAATATTGGATATAACCACATACATTTAGTTTGGTACAGGAAAATATTGGATTCACATCTACAGTGACAAAATAAATTGTTTAATTTTTGTACTTAAAATAGTTTTGAAGTTGGGCTTTATTCCTTACAGCTGAATACATAGATTTGGGGTGGCATCCAATTAAAATTGATTTGGTGTAAGCTGAAAAGCTGGATCGGCAGCAACTGACAGCTATACGTCTATCAGTCTTACGCAAAAGCCATTCAGTGGCACGGATTCAAATTTCATTTTTAAAGCAGATGTACATTGAATTTCAATAAGTTCTTCATATTCTGGCATGGACATTTAAAAAAGTAATTCAAAGATTTTTCGCAGAATCCCTACTAATGCTTTTGTGGAACCCTTGGCTTCTGCGAAACACAGTTTGGGAACTGCTGCCCTAGATGATCCCAGTAACCCTATTGAAATGAGGAACCTCTGCCTGACATTACTATAATGTCAGCATGGAGGATTTAGAAATCTTCTTAGGTCCCTTCTACACTTCAATATAATCCAGATTATCAAAGCAAAAATCCACATTATCTGCTTTGAACTGGATTTTATGAGTCTACAATATCACATATTCCAGTTCAAAGCAGATAATCTGGATTATATATATGGCAGTGTAGAAGGGGCCTAAGGCTGAATCTATACTGTCATCTAATGCAGTTCAAACTACAAGCACTTCCGCATAGCCCTTTATCCTAGGAGCATTTTTGTTTAAAAAATGTGAATGTTTCTGGGCCCCGATCCACACACACACTAGAAAGCGTGTGCTTTCTGGGATGGATGTCCAGATGTTCTCACAGAACTTTCCAGGAGAACACCCAGACACTCCAACCTCCTCCCCAAAAACCCTTTAAAAAACAAAAGAACTTACCTGGCCTCCATTAGAGAGTTGCCTGAGCTCTCCTGGCATGTAGAAATGACGTACCAGGAGAAGGGGAGCAGGAGCGATTTTCCTCCCCCCTCCCCTTTCTCCTGGATTTTCCTCCTCCTCCCCCCTTTCTCCTGGCAGCTCTCTAATGGAGGCCAGGTAAGTTATTTTGTTTTGTAAACACCTTTTCGGAGTTTTTGGGGAGGAGGGCTTGTGGTTTTCTGGACTAATTTAGCCTGGAAAGCAGTGGAATCACTGTCTGGACTGCCTTATCAAAAGTCCAGAACTTTTGAGGGAACAGTCCAAACACCGAAAGTAGTGGGTTTATCTCATGCCTTCCAAGAATGCATGAAATAAACCCACAGGACAAGATGGCCCCATTGCCTCTTCCTACCCAGTTTGGGGGAAGTAGCTACTTTTTACAAATGCGCCTTTCTGTGTGGGACCTCTCGCCACGGAAGGAAACCTGATTGTCTTTTTCTAAGCCCATCTCTGTCAATTGCATGATTGTGCCAATATGTCCTGTTTTGAGCTACCATGATCCAGAGCTGCTGGGGCCCCCCCCCCCCCCCCATGGGGCCCTGCCATGACCATCCTGCACACAATAAACTTTTCCTGGGTAGAGCTAAGTGCCCTCAATAATTTTTTATTATTTTTCCTGTTGAATAAAGGGAAACCCATTCATTGCCACTCAATGCCCTTTGTCTCTTCAGAAGCCGACTGCTCAGCAAAGCCCCTTTTCTGCGATTGGTCAGAATTGGTAGAGTCATCCAATGGGCTTCACTACAGCTGATGTTGCCACGGTGGGAAATTTGAAATTATTCTCTATAAAAGAGGCTGCATTTCTGTATTCTGGCATTCTAGCATCTTTGTGAGAGATCAGGAGCTAGCATCTTATTCATGTAAATAAACTCTTCATTGGCTGAACTTCACTTCTGCTTAAAGGGCTAATTTACTTCATTGGGTATCTTATATGATCGCCAAGCAGAATTCCTCACCTTCTGGGGCAGACTGGTGTTTTCTCCACAGCTGATCACTCCAGCCCGGGTTTCTGCCAACAGCACCTCCACGGTCCCACTGCCAAGAGCTGCTTCCAAATTGTGGTGACACTGGTTTGCGGCAAATTAATTCGGGTTTGCCCAGGATGTCATCTGGATAGCCCCCTTTTAATTGCGGGATCCCCTGTCTGGATGCCCCTACATTATCTGGCCAGTGTAGTCCCATATAATGTAGTTCAGTACAGCTCAAACTGCATTATGTGCACACTGACCATATAATTCAGTTCAAGCCACAATATCTTTTTACAAGAAGCTTTCGTACTCTCTTTGGGAGAAAGACAAAATAGAGGTCAAGTGAGATCAATGTTTTATAACTGAAAAAAGGACATCCTCTCTCTGTTTGCATCTACATTGTAGAATTAATGCAGTTCAATCAATCAATGATTTATTACGGTTTTAGACCAGCACAGTATAGAATGGGGCACCGGTGGCCAAGGAAGGGAATCGCAGTTCCCAAGTAGGTCAGGTATAAAAGCAGATTAAAAACATGTTATAAAAGAGACAAATTAAAAAAAAATAAAGCAGACTAAACTTACAGTTTAAAGTGCATGTATGAATCTAAAATAGGGGGCAGCTAATAACAAATATCAGACAACTGGGAAGCTCTAAAAAGGGATGAGAGGAGAGCATTGATAAGGTGTTCCTGCAAGTATCTCTGTAGATCTTAGGAAGCTCTTTCTTGATTTAAGGCATTGGTATGGTTCAATGTTATGTAATCACGGGAGTTGTAGTTTGGTGGACACCAACATTTTTGTGAGAGAGGGCTTAAGATCTTGCAAAACTACGATTCTTTAGCTTAGCAGCAAAAGTGGTATAAAACTGCATTAATTCTACAGTGCACAAGCATATATTATTATAACCTTGGTTTATAAAGCTATTTCCTCCCAACCCTGCTATATGTCTGCGAAACGTGGACTGTCTACAGATGTCACATGCAACTCCTAGAATGATTCCACCAGCGCTGCCTCCGGAAAATCCTGCAAATCTCTTGGGAAGACAAGCGGACAAATGTCAGGGTCCTGGAAGCAGCAAAGACCACCAGCACTGAAGCGCCATGAACTCCGCTGGACCGGCCACGGTGTCTGGATACCTGACCACTGTCTACCAAAGCAGTTGCTCTACTCTGAACTCAAGAATGGAAAATGGAATGTTGGCGGGCAGGAAAAGAGATTTGAAGATGGGCTCAAAGCCAAACTTAAAATCTCTAGCATAGACACTGAGAACTGGGAAGCCCTGGCCTGTGAGTGCTCCAGTTGGAGGTCAGCTGTGACCAGCAGTGCTGCAGAATTTAAAGAGGCATGAAAAGAGGCCTCTGCCTTTTCGAAACCCAGCTTGTACATCTGGCAACTCTCTCTCCATGTATTGCTGGAGTCTTCCTTGCAGGATCTTGAGCATCACCTTACTGGCATGAGAAATAAGGACCACCGTACAGAAGTTTGAGCAGTCTTTAACATTAGGTTCTTGTGGGCCATGTTCTAGAGGCATTTCTCCTGACGTTTCGCCTGCATCTATGGCAAGCATCCTCAGAGGTAGTGAGGTCTGTTGGGACTAGGACAATGGGTTTATATATCTGTGGAATGGCTGGGGTGGGGCAAAGAGCTCTTCTCTGCTGGAGCTAGGTGTGAATGTTTCAACTGACCACCTTCATTAGCATTTGAAGGCCTGGCTGAGCCTGGGAAAATCTTTTGTTGAGAGGTGTTAAGATGTGCCTGGTTGCTTCCTCTCTGCTGTTTTGCTGTTGTAATTTTAGAGTTTTTTAATACTGGTAGCCAGATTTTTTACAACAGCAAAACAGCAGAGAGGAAACAACCAGGCACATCTTAACACCTCTCAACAAAAGATTTTCCCAGGCTCAGCCAGGCCTTCAAATGCTAATGAAGGTGGTCAGTTGAAACATTCACACCTAGCTCCAGGAGAGAAGAGCTCTTTGCCCCACCCCAGCCATTCCACAGATATATAAACCCATTGTCCTAATTCCAACAGACCTCACTACCTCTGAGGATGCTTGCCATAGATGCAGGCGAAACGTCAGGAGAAATGCCTCTAGAACATGGCCATATAGCCCTAAAAAACCCACAAGAACCTAGGGATTCCGGCTATGAAAGCCTTCGACAATACATCTTCCATATTGTGTCCACAGTTGAATTTTGCTGTTTAATGTAACACCTCTTCCCTGCTGGAGCTAGATGTGAATGTTTCAACTGATCACCTTCATTAACATTTGAAGGCCTGGCTGAGCCTGGGAAAATCCCCTGTTGAGAGGTGTTAAGATGTGCCTGGTTGTTTCTTCTCTGCTGTTTTGCTGTTGTAATTTTAGAGTTTTTTAATACTGGTAGCCAGATTTTGTTAACATTTTGTTAACAGTCTTTAACATTTCCCTTTCTTTTGGTATGGGGATATAAGTTGATTTTTCCAGCCTGATGGCCATTCTTGTGTTTTCCATATTTGCTGGCATATGGCATGCATCACCTTGACAGCATCATCTTTCAAGATTTTAATCAATGCTTGTATGCATGTATATATATATATAATATATCACTGTTTATGCCTGTGAGTGAGGAGAACCTCCCCAATTGCCTCTAAAGCAACCCTCCCATCAGAGTTGGCGCATGCGCGTTGCCACTCAGCTTGCCTTCCCTTACTACATCGAGGGAGCAAGAGAGAGAGAGAGAGTGGAGTTGACGTCATGGTCTTGTCCAGCGCGAGGTGCATTGTGGGCTGGGAGGGGCCGCCATTTTCGGTGAGGAGAGGGGGCGGAGCCACGGGCTGCTCAGTCAGGCTAGGGAGCTGAAGCCGGGAAGAAGCGGCGGAGGTGGCGGTGGCGGTTTTGGGGGGTCCCGCCCGACTGACAGCCGGCTGGGGTGAGTCACGGCTCAGGCCTCGGTCGGTTTCCCCTCGTAGGGCCCGCCCTTCAGCCCTCCATCCCTCACAAAAGCCAGGCCTGCTGCCTTTCCCGTCGTCAGGTATACCGGCTTCTTCTTTCTCCCCGAGGGAGGCAGTTGTGCGACGGCGCCACCTAGAGGCCAGTGCGGGAATTGGAGCTAGGGAGGTGTTTCTGGGGGGAAAGTTGTCTTGCACCTAAGGCCCTTCTGCATAGCTGTATAACCAGGCATGGGCAAACCCCGGCCTTCCCTCCAGGTGTTTTGGACTTCAACTCATAGAATCATAGAATCAAAGAGTTGGAAGAGACCTCATGGGCCATCCAGTCCAACCCCCTGCCAAGAAGCAGGAATATTGCATTCAAATCACCCCTGACAGATGGCCATCCAGCCTCTGTTTAAAAGCTTTCAAAGAAGGAGCCTCCACCACACTCCAGGGCAGAGAGTTCCACTGCTGAACGGCTCTCACAGTCAGGAAGTTCTTCCTCATGTTCCTCTCTTGTAGTTTGAAGCCATTGTTCCGCGTCCTAGTCTCCAAGGAAGCAGAAAACAAGCTTGCTCCCTCCTCCCTGTGGCTTCCTCTTACATATTTATACATGGCTATCATATCTCCTCTCAGCCTTCTCTTCTTCAGGCTAAACATGCCCAGCTCCTTAAGCTGCTCCTCATAGGGCTTGTTCTCCAGACCCTTGATCATTTTAGTCGCCCTCCTCTGGACACATTCCAGCTTGTCAATATCTCTCTTGAATTGTGGTGCCCAGAATTGGACACAATATTCCAGGTGTGGTCTAACCAAAGCAGAATAGAGGGTAGCATTACTTCCTTAGATCTAGACACTATGCTCCTATTGATGCAGGCCAAAATCCCATTGGCTTTTTTTGCCGCCACATCACATTGTTGGCTCATGTTTAACTTGTTGTCCACGAGGACTCCAAGCTCTTTTTCACACGTACTGCTCTCGAGCCAGGCATCCCCCATTCTGTATCTTTGCATTTCGTTTTTCCTGCCAAAGTGGAGTATCTTGCATTTGTCACTGTTGAACTTCATTTTGTTAGTTTTGGCCCATCTCTCTAATCTGTCAAGATCGTTTTGAATCCTGCTCCTGTCCTCTGGAGTGTTGGCTATCCCTCCCAATTTGGTGTCGTCTGCAAACTTGATGATCCTGCCTTCTAACCCTTCATCTAAGTCATTAATAAAGATGTTGAACAGGACCGGGCCCAGGACGGAACCTCTGTTAGGAATTGTGGGAGTTGAAGTCCAAAACACCTAGAGGGAGGGCTGGAGTTTGCCCATGCCTGCATATAACCCAGAATATCTCTTTTATTTTTGGTTCCAAGTTTTTTTAAAAAAAAATATGTCCGTTTTAATTTACTTTCTCTACCTCTCTCCGCCCTTTTCTTTTAGACATTATTATTATTATTATTATTATTATTATTATTATTATTATCTTTATTTGTACCCCGCTAGCATCTTCCGAAGGACTCGATGCGGCTTACAAAGGCCAAGGCCTCAATACACAACATAACAATACAAAACCTAAAGCAAATTAAAAACAATTAAAGCAATATTAGACAACAAAGCAACAACAATAAACAATACACCAAAACACAATAAAACTGGGCCGGGCCAGAGTAATGGGTATAGAATTAAAAGTGCTGATGTGACAGGTGGTATATAAGGATTATAGGGTAAGTGCAGTCTGCAGTGTGCGGCAATCTTAGTTCTAATAAAGTGCTTCTGGGACTTGGTATTGGAGATTTCCTATTCTGGGAAGGCACATCGGAACAGCCAGGTCTTCAAGTTCTTTCTAAAGACTGCCAATGTAGGGGCCTGTCTAAGATCTTTGGGGAGGGTGTTCCAGAGTCGGGGGGCCACCACAGAAAAGGCCCTGTCTCAAGTCCCCACCAAACGCGCTTGCGACGCAGGCGGGATCACGAGCAGGGCCTCTCCGATGACCGAAGTGAAGCGTGTGGGTTCGTAGACGGAGATGCGGTCACGCAGGTAGGGTGGTCCCAAACCGTTCAGGGCTTTGTAGGTAAGCACCTGCACCTTAAATTGGGCTCGGAAAATAAACGGCAGCCAGTGGAGCTCCTTGAACAGGAGGGTTGACCTCTCTCTGTAAGGAGCACCAGTTAACATCCTGGCCGCTGCCCGTTGGACCAGTTGAAATTTCCGAGCCGTTTTCAAGGGCAGCCCCACGTAGAGCGCATTACAGTAGTCCAATCTAGAGGTGACCAAGGCATGGACCACCCCGGCCAGATCATCCTTCGCGAGGTAAGGTCGCAGTTGGCGCACGAGTCTCAATTAGACATACTCTTTGTACCATAAGCAACAGAAATTACATTTGAAATATCAGTCTTAATAATAATACTTTATTTTTATCCCGCTACCATCTCCCCAAAGGGACTCGGGGCGGCTTACATGAGGCCAAGCCCAGCAATTATAGCAATGCAAATATACAACATAAAAATACAAAAAAATTTTTTTGTCGTGTCAGGAGTGACTTGAGAAACTACAAGTCGCTTCTGGTGTGAGAGAATTGGCCGTCTGCAAGGACGTTGCCTAGGGGACGCCCAGATGATTTGATGTTTTTATCATCCTTGTGGGAGGCTTCTTTCATGTCCCTGCATTTATTTATTTATTTATTTATTTAAAACCGTTATATTCCTCCCTTCTCATCCTGAAGGGGACTCAGACATATACATGGCAAACATTCAATGCCTGGATACAATACATAAACATTAAAAAACATCTAAATATTAAAATATACCATTTAAAATAACACAATTTAAAACCGTCCTAGCTATGAGGAGCTGGAGTTGATAGAGGGAGCTCATCCGCCTCTGCCCGGATTCGAACTTGCGACCTGTCAGTCTTCAGTCCTGTCGGCACAGGGGTTTAACCCACTGCGCCACCGGGGGCTCCCAATTACAGCAATGCAAATATACAACATAAAAATACAACAGTGCAAATATATAACACAAAAATACAGCTAAAATATAATAAAAACAAAATGCAAAAAACAATACAAAGTAAACACACCATGCAATATAAAACCACACTTTCTCTACCCCTCTCCCACTCTCCGTCCTTTTCTTTTAGACATACTCTTTGTATCATAAACAACAGAAATTACATTTGAAATATCAGTCATAATAATAATAAAAACTTTATTTTTATCCCGCCACCATCTTCCCAAGGGGACTCGGGCGGCTTACATGAGGCCAAGCCCAGCAATTACAACAATGCAAATATACAATATAAAAATACAACAATGCAAATATACATCATAAAAATACAGCAAAACTATAATAAAAATAAAATGCAAAAAACAATACAAAGTAAACACACAGTGCAATATAAAATCACAATAAATTGAACACAGTGGGCAGGGCTAGTTGCAAATATTAAAAAGTTTAAAACCACTGGGTGAGATGAGCAATGTGCAGTAGAAGTAAATGTATGCAACATTTTGGAAAGACAATGACTGGAACGGCGATTCAACGGACGAGACTTTTATTATTTTAATGATTGTTTTATTTCTTATGGATATATTTTTAAATTTAATTTATGTCTAATTGTAGTGTATTATTGTAATTGTTTGTACTGGCATTGAAAGAAAGGCGGTATATAAATATATAATGTATATAAATACAGTAAATAAATAAATTTGTTATTTCCACATTTAACGTATTAACTCCATAATTATACCAGTTTGTCAGAGTCCACTTTGTTTTTATCTCCAACCCCTCACTAAAACAATTTGGGTATACGCTATTAATTTGTCAACCAACCTTTCCTTTTGCGTACATTATACAGAAGGGTATCCTTGCATGTAATACATTTCTATTGTCCATTATTATTTGAAGATTTAACATTATACTAATTTCTCTTTCTATCATTTTCCAATATACCTGTACTCTATCACATTCCCACATAATTATTATAACAATAAACTTTATACCCCTCCCCATCTCCCATAAAGGGACTCGGAGTGATTTAGAACCATGAAATAAAACATTAGATAATATAAACACAATACATAACATCAAATTAAGATAAAACAAAAAATTAACACAAAACATCAATCATCATCATAATCATCAATAATGATTATAATAATAATGAATAATAATAAATAATCATTTATTATCAAAAATATTCGAACTGCAAAGACTCTGGCACAAGCCAGTAAAGGTGGTTCCATGGGTGAGCGGCACACTGGGTGTAGTGCCTAAAGACCTTGGCCTGCACTTAAAAACAATTGGTGCTGACAAAATTATCTGTCAGCTGCAAAAGACCATTTTACTCGGATCTGCACACATTATCTGCTGATATATCACACCGTCCTAGACACTTGGGAAGTGTCCAACATGTGATCAAATATAAAAGCCAGCATAGAGATCTTGTTTGCTGTGTACTAATCTTGTTATTTATCAAATAAATTATTTATACCCCGCCCTATCTCCCCAGACGGACTCAGGGCATCCTACAACCAAACAAAAGATATAATAAATGATATACACAGAAAGTGATCCCATAAAAGCAAAATAGCACAATAATATAAGCACAAATAAACAAATTTAAAACACTATAAAACCCTATAAAACCAATATATGATACCATTTAAAACCAACTTATCCTATAATTAGAGTATCCAGATTATAATTATAGTTATAAACAACTATATAAAAGCACTTTGAAGAACATTTAAAAAATCCTAGCCATTGCTATGGTAAAATAAGCCATAAAATCCAGTTGATGATTATTGGATATTCTTACATTTTGCCATTGTCGAAAGCCTGTTTAAAAAGCTAAGTTTTCAATTCCTCATATCATATGATTAAACACACCTCTTTGTTTACAACCATGCCAACACCTGTCCTTTACCCCTGGTAGAAAGGGTGAAAGTTGTGCAGGAATCCTGTACCATTTTTTGTAACATTTTTCTTCTTCACTTAGTATATTATATTTTTCTTTTG